CTTGTCATTCTTACAAGTATTTTCATGACCGTCCGATCAGAAATGTATGTAACGCCTGTTTTCATTCTCAGTGTGGAGAGGCATGGTACCTTGAATTAAGCTGGATGAACTCGCCTGGCAAGTCAGTTTCATCTTGAGCGGGAGTCGTCTGCCCCACTGTTCAGCTGTGAGATGATGCAGCCAACAAGAAGGTCGTGTCAATGACGGCTTGTCGATCGAATGGAATTTCAACGTCATACGGTTGATTCAACCTTGTTCATGTTCACTTGGAACGACTTGGTGTGCAATTTGCCTTAAAGGGGCATGGCCAGGACTCGATTGTCTGTTAACAGCAGACTCCATAAATATGGTGGATTTGTATTATTGACATTTGCGCCCTGCTACCATATCAGAGCATCGCCTATCTCGGTAAACGGCTTCGGTACGGTAACTTTTACTGCACCGAGGGTCAAAATTCCTTGGGAGTTGGCTCGAAGAGTTGACTGAAAGGAATGGGGGCAGTCAGAAGGGTCGTCTCGGCAGGGAGGAGCAGTCGCTAACTTAACCAAGTCCCTCTTGCAGAGGTTTAAGATAGCAAGCGATCCCCGAGGCACGAGGGACTTACAGGAAAGGTTAAGCTTAACAAAGCCCCTCTTCCGCGGCTGCGTCCGCGACCTCGAAGAGGGGCTTATCGCAGACTCGGGTTTTTTGGCGGAGGACTTCCAAGAATTAAGTACTGTTAAGTACTTTCTTCAACTTCCCTTCAACACCTCTCCACAAAAAGTCCCAGGTTTCTCGTATGTTGTTCTCGTAACATTTCTACATATTTTGGTACCACTTTCAACGCAAACAGACTTTGTGTGCATTTTCTGGAGTAATGCGCAAACATGGTCCTTATGTCTTCCTGTAACAGCCTAAAAGTGGCTGTACAGGATGACAATCAGATTTGGATAATTTGTCCTCGGCCAAACCCGGACAAATCCAAAATGTGGGCTGAAACGTTAACAAAACTCTTATGACCTAAGGGCAGTAAGCGTCAGGGGCCTTAGGGCGTAAGCTCAAATAAAAGCCGCCACCGTCAACATCGCGCGTTAACTTGGAGCTCACACAACCACGTCATGCTCACTCGCTCCCATGTTCCAACGCCTACAACTTCCCCTCAAGTTGGAAAAACCCCAGTCGCCGATCCAGCTATCATCAAAGACAACCCCAAAGATTACCGCCCATCAATCTCAAAATTATTACTCAAGGATGATGATGAAGAGCTACGTGAAGTTATACTAAAATTATTTTATGACGTATATCACATGGAGGCCCGAAAACTTCAAGTTGACGCGACTATGAGCCTAGCTCGGAGAAAGGATGTTTTTCTCCTTGCAAGTACCGGCTACGGGAAGTCTCGTATACCAGAATTGTTTTATTTGTTGTTCACCAAAGCATGCCCTCCAATCATCTTGACGTTGAATCCTTTAGACACCCTTGGGGACAATCAAGTGAGTTATTCCCATATTTCACCTTTTGCAACTTGACCCACTGTACATTTTTCCATCGGACAGGTTGAAGAAAAGGCTAGACATGGGTTATCTGCGATCAATTTGACACGCGCGTCTTTCACCAAAAAGGTGTTCAAAGACATACTCGCAGGGAAGTACCAATTCATTTATGTGGTAAGCCCTTTCACGACCTTCACCTCATTGATTTTGTGTTTTGGAGTTTCTAACATATTTGATTTCCTTTTCGATAGTCACCCGAAATTTTCTTGAACAACACTCGATTCGAGCGTCTTTATTTTTCCAAGGCCTTCCAGAACCGTCTGGTCCTCAAGGTAGTTGATGAGGCTCACCTCATCTACTGTTGGGGCCTTGCCTTGAGTGGGCGAATCAAGAATCTCCGATGCTTTCAAATCTCGCAAGATCGAACCCCCTTTTGGCCATCATACGGGAATATGGTGGAGCGGTTCCTAGCGACAGAATCAGTCCCAACTCTCCTCATGTCAGCAACATGCCCACCTCGTCATTTCGATCAAATTTTAGCCAGTCTCAAAATCACCAGAGACTACATCGATATTCATCGAGGCGAGCTAGTTCGGCCGGAGATTTGTTTCATCCGGATAACTATCAGACATGGAGCGTCTTCAATGGATTTACTCAAGAAATTTTTTGCACCAAAATCAAAGATACCCAACTCTGAAATCGTACCTAGCCTTGTCTACTGTCATACACAAAACGACACCTATCTAGCTCTGAAAGCAATTAACTCCGCCCGCAACAACAAAGCCGATTCTCGCAATGGCTTGAGCTCTTTGGTCCGCCGTTTCCATGCTTCAACCTGCCCCATTGACAAAGCTCGTCGTGCTCGGGATTTCGGAAATGGCGAGTTCTCGGTCATGACATGCACTAACGCCCTTGGGCTTGGACAAAACTGGACTCGGGTGAGAAGAGTCATCATCTTGGGTCAGCTAGACCCTATGGAGTTATTGCAAATGGCCGGCCGAGGTGGTAGAGACCGTCGACCTTCGGTCGCATTTATGATAGTCAATCAACTGGCCCAGTCCAACAAGGATAGACTTATGGCTTTACCACATCAGAGTGAACAAGATAATGATCAGCATATGCATGCTATGAGCATCACTGACGTATGTTTTCGAGTCGCTTTTGAGGTCCTTCTACGGTGAGTCTTACTTGCAGCTCAGAAGATTGAGTTAGTTCAATTACATCACTGACGCAAGTCTTATTTAGATGTAACTACATGCACCGTGTCCGGGTAGTGTTCGCTCGTCGACGAGCGCGCACGACTTCCCTTTCTGCCTCAAAGGGAGTTGGTGTGCGCTCGTCGACTAGCAAAGCCTACACAGACACGGTGATGCCTGTTTCAAAATCTGATCAAGCCGTTATAACTGAAACTCAAAGGCAAGCAGATGCAGGAATGGTACCGTGCCTCTGTTCTAACTGTCATTCAAACGCAGCCAACTTTTTCCTCTCTGAACAAAAGAATTTGACAACATCGAATTTCACCGATTTGATACTCCAATCGGACGTACCAGCCAATCAACCTGAGTTCAAAGTGGAACCCGAAGATTCAGAGCCTCAGGACAGATCGACAAATGGGTTGAGATCTTTCCGGGATGATCATCCTCTATGTCAAGACATTCGGTGGATTTGCTTGTTCCTGCGCATCCAATCAAATCTGCAGTTGATTTTCGACTCCGAATATCCGAAAAGCTCGTTCTACACGCTCGACGACCTTTTTGCTCCCAACAAACTCTGGACTATATGCATTAACTATGATTTGGTTTTACAAGGTCTTCATTTGGATGATGTCTTTGGTAGTGAACCTCTACCAAACACGTACGGTTCAATAACTCAAGATATTCGCCGGTGGAAGGGAAGCACCGACTCCATCGCTGTCTTACACCCTTCAGAACAAGAGATGATGATGTATAACGCAGCAAAGGCTTTTGCAAAGGAAAAAGCCTCCCAAAAGAACAATACAAAAATTAAGTGTTCAAAAAAGGACGACCGAGTGAAAGATGGAATAAACAATGTCAAAGATGCACAGGTCTGTTTATCATTGCGTATTGTCCCGAATTGTAAATGAACATGTCATTAACAAACTTTTTGTCTTTCCAGGCTTCTACAGCGACGAGCGCGGACATGCCATCTGACATTGCAAAATCACACAAGCGAAAACCACCACCGTATCTAGGCAAGAAGGGGAAATCACCTAAACGAAAAAAATAAGCTTCCTAATCCTGAGTCCCGCCGTCTGTTTCTTCCCGAATGCCTTCGACATCAACCACAGTATCTCCTAAACTGCCCCATCTATAACGAGAAACCTCCTTATTTTTACGATCTTTCAAAATGTGGTCTTGTAATATGTTGGATCCGGTTACCACTGTATCAGTATACTGACTTTTGACGCTGGATTGTTTGGATATGACATATTGGTGGTTCCATGAGCGAACGAAGTTGGCTAGTGTATGTTCTGAGAAGTTGTGGGAGTGATTTTGAAACACAGGCTTCAGCCCGCTCCTAATCTTCAATTGTTGAATCAGTTGTCTTAGCTTTAGTTTTTTTGCAGCGTAGATAAGGAAGGTAATTTGAAACAAGAATATTAGCAATATGTATATAATTTTGAACCAAAGACCTTCCAAAGTTGATTTAAAATCATCTTACAAAAGTAATGTTGATTGACATCGCAATCAGCTTTTCAATCTCGGTTCCGTTACTCTGGAATTGACTAAGGATGAGTGACAATCCAGTCATTACAATCAAAAAAAAGGAACCAATCTGCTCACGGTTTGGTTGAAATAATGTTTTAACCAAAAGTTTTGGTATTCAAGCCATAAATCATTTCCTACAAAGTGACCTGGG